GTCTAATATAAATATATGATCAATACAGGATTTAGTATTATCTTGAACCCTGGTGTATTTATTTATAAGTGATTTATATCCTTCTTCGCTTAAAATATTTGTATACCCAATTACTTCAACTTCTTCGCTGAAAAGATTGATGTTGATATCGCCCGAAATTATATGAAAATCAAATTCTTTTTTTTTTAGATTCTTCAGATAAAGCAATAACCCCAAATTAAAATCAATAATACTATACTGTTTTTAAACTAGGAGGAGCGAATTAAAAAGACGCATTTACACAGGGAAAAGTAACTAGATTCATTACTAAGAGCTTGTTCCGAAATAAAATCGTGTTCAAAATTTATGTAATAGTTGTTATCGGCCCTAGTCAGCGAACATCCAATCAGGGATTAAGAAATAAATAAATGTCAAAGGAGTCGATTTTTTATTGGTTCCAGACAACGGTCGCAAATTTCTTATTATTGTGATCTGAAAAGTGTGTCTAAAACGAATTGTCACTGTCAAATGAAATTTAATGTTTATTTACTGATGGATCCAAAGATCGGCAGGGCAAAACTGGCGCTGGTATCTTTTCTACAAATTTAATTGCCAAATCTTTTCGACTTCCAAATTTCTTTTCAATCTGTTCGGCCGAAATATATGCAATTAAAGAAGCGGTTATATTTATTATAACTGAGAATATTAGGAAGGCAGTTATTTTCAGCGACTCTAAAAGTGCTCTCCAAAAAATATCCAGTAATTGCATATCGAGTAAAATGGACTATTTAACATTAGAAATAAAACATAGTTTATTTAATGCAAAGAGTTTGGGGATAGATATTTGTCTAGCATGGATTCCTAGTCACTGCGGAATAACTGGAAATGAGGAAGTAGATGAACTGGCCAAAAAAGGCCGACTGCAAATATTAAATATTAATGCCAGAGTGCATCATAGTGAACTCTTGCCTTTTTTTAAATCCAATACATGGAAAAAATGGGAGGAGGAATATAAAGTGATATGCCAAGTTAAAGGGAAACTATATGGAGAAGTAATTCAAATTCCATTAAAGAGACCGTGGTTTGCAAAAATAAAAAATTTGAATAGAAGGGATATAAGTACCGTATGCAGATTAAGAAGCGGTCATTGTTTAAGTATGGTGCATCTAAAGAAAATAGGTGTAAAAGAAAATGATAGGTGTACGTGTGGAAAACTGGAGGATTTACAACATATTTTTTTTAATTGTCAAAATAATTTTTATAATATTTATACATTTTTAGATAGTTTAGATATTCCAAAAAATTTTATAAAACCTGTTACACTTTTTGATGTATTGTTTAAACTTCTGTCTTTCGGTAATGTTAAAAAAATATCAAAATTTATACAAATGTCTAAAATTAAGCTGTAAAATATTGTAATTATTTACCTGTTGTTACCAAATGGCTGTATCATCTTAGCTATGTAGGCCAATAAATTATAAAAAAAAAAAAAAAAAAAAAAAATGGTCGTTGATTTGTTGACGTTATCAGTAATGTTTTTCTTGCTTTTGAAATCGACTTTTTGAGGATTGTAATTATTGTTTTAAATAGATATTGAATATTTATGAAAATTGTTAAAAGAATATCAAGATGCCGGTTAGTATAAAACATAGAAATATTATCGTTTTACATTTTTAATGATTTATTTGTTATAGGTATAAACTTAAATAAAAGGTAATCAGTGAATGGCAATTGGATCACACAATGACTGGAATTTATCCTATGAGTAATATGGATATTGTAGCTAATTTGCTTTTAACCCATAGTTAATACATATCAACATTATATCATTACTAAATTTTAACTTAATGATATTGTAGGTCTTTTTAACTCAAGTTCTAATATTTACCCGTATTTTTTAATTTAATGTGAACTATTCATACATACCTATACCTATATATTAATGTTAAGTGGATATTTTTAAAATATTTATTGTGGAAGTAATGTTAGCTCATTATGCTAAATTAAGATTATCTAATGTAGTAGATAGTTTTTTAAATGTGAATTAACAATTTTCTAAATGGTTTTATTGTCTAATAAATAAAATTTACTTGAATATTTAGTTACTTTTTAATCAGTTTGGTCAGAAATTTATCAAGTTTTAGTTTTAAAAAATCAGTAATAAACTTGTTAGTTTTTTTCTGAAATACTTCGGAATTCATCTCTTCATGGTAATCTCCCGTCTTTTTGCCTTCAAAACCAATAATGTATTTTCTACAAAATCCTCTTCAGAATCAGCAAAAATAAGTCGTCTTCCCTTTCTTGTAGGGCTTTTTAGGAACTGCTACCCTTAATAGTACTCGGTAGAGAAGGGTTCATAATCGTAGAAATTTAATACAATTGCTTACTGAAGTTTTGAAAAGAACTATTATTTACGAAATAAAGTAAAAAACTAAGTAATAATGAGATATCAAAATATAAAATGTCAGAACTGTCAACAATATCAATTATTATTAGCTGATGTTAATGCTAAAAAGTGATGTGTGAAACTGACTACAATCTGACCAATCAGAAATCTACAGAATTGCCAACTTAAACTCAAATCGCTCCTCCTATACTCTGTTTTTAAACTAGGAGGAGCGAATTGAAAAGACGCATTTACACAGGGAAAAGTAACTAGATTTGTTACTAAGAACGAGTTTCGAAATATAGTCGTGTTCAAAATTTATGAAATAATTATCTTTATCGGCCTTAGTCGGCGAACGGCCAATGAGCGGTTAAGAAACGAATAAATGTCATAGAAGTAATTTTTTAATTGGTCCCAGACAACGGTCGCAAATTTCACATTATTGTGATCCGAAATGTGTGTCTAAAACGAAATGTCACTGTCAAATTAAAGTCAATATGGTTGTTGATTGATGTCAGAAATACTTTTTTCTTGCTTTTGAAATCGACTTTTTGAGAATAACTATGATCTTTTTAAAATGGATATTAAATATTTAAGAAAATTGTTAATGGAATATCCAGATGTAGCCAGGTTAGTATAAAATATCAAGATCTGTTTACATTTTTAAGGATACTTTGTTATAGGTATAAAAAGTAAAAGTTAATCAGTGAATGACAAGTGGATCACACAGTAACTGGTCTCTTCTATAAGTAATGTGGATATTATGGCTTATTTAGTGTTAACCCATGGTTAATGCGCTAGAGGGCAAATAAAGGCATTCAAAAGTTTACAGGCCTATGAGTCAGAATTTGTTTTGAAAACTGGAACCAACATTTTCATAACACTACATGTTAATATATATTTTTTAAAGTGAACTATTCATACATACCTATGTATTAATTTTAAGTATTTTTAAAATATTTTTTGTGAAAGTAATGTTAACTCATTGTGCCAAATTAAGATTATCCCTAAAGTAGTAGATGGTGTTTTAAATGTTATAACAATTTTGGAAATAGTTTTATTCTATTCTAATAAATAAAATTTGCTTAAATATTTAGTTACATTTTAATCATTTTGGTTAGAAATTCATCAATTTTTTGTTTTAAAAAATCAGTAATAAAATTATTTTTTTCTAAAATACTTCGGAATTCATCTCTTCATGGTAATCTCCCATCTTTTTACCTTCAAAAACCAATAATGCATTTTCTACAAAACCTTCAGAATCAGCATGTAAAATAATAAGGTGTCTTCCCTTTCTTGTGAGGCTTTTCGGGAATTGCTACCTTTAATAGTACTCAGTGTAGAAGGATTCATAATTGTAGATTTTCAATACAATTGCTTACTGAAGAACTATTATTTACGAAATAAAGTAAAAAACTAAGTAATGGATGAGATATCAAATTATAAAATGTCAGAACTGTCAACAATATCAATTATTAGCTAATGTTCATGCTAAAAAGTAATGTGTGAAACTGACTGTAATCTGACCAATCAGAAGGCTACAGAATTGCCAACTTAAATTCAAATCGCTCCTCTTAGTTTAAAAACAGAGTATAGTTTAAAAACAGAGTATAGTTTAAAAACAGAGTATAGTTAATGGTATTGTCCTTTTCCCAAAAAGTTATTTCACTACTGCATATTCCTTCTTCAACAGTCAGCACTCTAGCTCCATATTGACATTTTACCTTTATCATAGAGTTTTGAATTTTGTTTTAAACTCCATCCGGACAGCAATATAATTAAATTCGGAATCAATAAAAAGTCCACATTTAAAAACTTTTTCTTGTAAATAAATTTCCAAATCTTATTTTGATCTGGATTTATTGTCCATGCCATATTAGGTGGCTTTAACAAAAAATAAAAGATTTTATCAGATTTTTTAAAAAAGACGTTTCGTTTTTTTACAAATGTCTCCACATTTTGAAGTACTGACACGTTTTCGTCTTTCATTGTGCCACAATGCACCATCAGCTTGATTTCATGTCACATTAATTTTTTTCTCATCTGTATACATTGGCAAACTTTTTAGAAAATCTTCTTTTGCAACGCGTATCAAAGAGTGCGGCAGATCAAAGCCATGCGCAAAAGCAAGAAAAATGATTTACTTAGTTCGAAAAAATATCACCCCTTATAATTTTCGGACAAGCTTATCTCAAAAAGTGATTTTTTAAAAAATTAAAATTTTGGGAAAATATCTAGAATATGCATATATTTTAAAGTTTTAATTCCTTCCAGTTTCCAAGAATAAAAATCAAAGGGCTTTAAATTTTGAAATATAATAAAAATAAATGCACTATTCTTAATATAATTCCCAAATTTAAGCTCTTAATGTCTTGTTAATGATTTTTTAAACTTTGTCAAAATAAGTGCCTAAAACGCCTTATTAAGTGCTCTCAGATCATCATTCGTTTCTTGCAACGATTTACATCAGTTTACACAAAAGTTAGCACTAACCTAGATTTTGGGTTATTGTTTTTTCATTACGTTAATATAGTCAACAGCGTTTCCTAATTTAAAGTAAAATAAATATTTCCCAGACACTGCTCTTTTCACCACAAATAACTATTTGTATTTATTATTTCTTATTCGTTTGCAGCTTGTCAGTTTGACATTCGATGACGCTATCACCGAAAGAGTATACAACGATTACTTGGAACCTCTTTTATTTTCAAGAACCAATCCCGATAATAATCCTATAGGAGCCACTTTCTTCGTACCACACGAGTACACCGACTACCAACGAGTCAATGATTTATACTCTATCGGTTTCGAAATTGGTGTCCACTCCATTACGTAAGTACTATTCTTCAGCTCTTTAAAAATATACATATTATACAATTTCACAAAATAATCGTATAAAACGTATCATGTTGGTTGCATACTGTCTATGGTTTTCACATTACCATGCATTGTTGGTTGCATATATGTTTTGACAGATATCTGGCAAAATGGAGGCTTATTAGACTTTTCAATTGTTGTCGTGTCTCTCTTGCGCTGTATAGTCATCTAGGTGTGTGGGTTGACCACCAACTTAAAGATCATCTAAGCGACTTCTAATAAATCGCAATAATAAAGCTGGTAAACTATTATTCGATAGTTGCCAGTTTTTTTAAATATAGACGATGTACGATCCAAAAAATTCGCAAAATGACAACGTTGTACGGTTGAACAAACAATCCCAACTTCTCTTACCAGCATATAGAAAACTATTTTCTGCTTACGACTTTTTTTAATTTGCGCTACTGTTCGCTTGGAACCGCTATGTGACGAGCGTAATAAAATCAAACTTTTCCCCATAAGCGTTGACTTACTAGATAAATTTATACAATGATATTATGTAGTTTATTGGTGTATATTGTATTTTAAAACTAGTATTACTATTTTGTGGTACTTCTGCTAATAGTTTTCCTCTAATTTAGAATAGTAGGTTTGTTTTACTACGCTTTTTCCAATTTTCAGTAAAGAACCTCATCAAAAATACTGGAGAGAAGCTACAGAAGAAACTCTAATTAAAGAATTCAAAGGTCAAAAACAAATCATAAAAAATTTCGCCAACATCCCAGAAGAAAGCATAATAGGTGTCAGAACTCCCCAACTACAAATGGCTGGAAACTTTTCGATCAAAGCTTACCTGGAGTCTGGATTGACATACGATAGTTCTTGGCCTTCCTTGCCAAGCAAGAGGATGTTTCCATACACGTTGGATTACTTATCTACTCAAGAATGTCTTCTGGGTTATGAATGTCCGAACGAATCTTTTCCAGGATTCTGGATTCTTCCGATCAATGAGTTGATTGGTAATAAAGGAATCGAATGTAATGCCGTTGCCAGCTGTAAAGTGAGGTAACTTTATATCAGATGAAATTAAAAGCTCTATAACATATATACATGCTTGCACAAGCTTGTCTTTTGGTATGTTATTAATCTGTTAAGATTCTTATGTGAATTTTTCATTAATTTTCATGGTTCACTATAAGATTTGTTAAATGACATATTAGTCCAGTAACTGAAGGGACCAACCTGTCATTAAGTTGGTACAGATTTTCGTTGTGGCTCAACTCTTAGGTCTCGGCGGTCGCTTCCAAGGTCGAAAACTTTTACCAACTCTGCTGCGTCGAAAAGGGCCCAAAATGGACCCTTAAACTGGCTTCTCGCCAATATCTTCCACAATATGCAAATTAGAGAATTTTTGTTTAAATAAAAAAGAAAGATCTTATCATTATCTACAAAAATGGTCCCTATCATTTTTGTCGGGAATTCGACAGGTTTCGAGATAACCACAATCAAAAGTCCCCTCTTTCAGCCCCTGCTTTATCTCTATAGCAATGCTGATTAGCTTGTAAACGGGTGGACAAATTGTTTCAGAACTCAGTCAAAAATTGATATTTTTCAATGATTCAAAGTTCATTACAATGGGAAAACCCATAGGTATCGATCCATGTACCTTGAAGCCCGTTATTTCCTGTTAAGAACATTGAAAAAGGGGTCAAAGTTGCGTTTTCCCACTATTTTGGACCACTTTATAGTAACTCATTCATTTTTTTTCTTTTAATAGTTTTTTATCCCATTTTTGTTTTAAATGGGATCTTGAGATGTCTCGAATGATCTTAGAAATTTTTTTCCAGTAACTTCTTGGCGTTTTAAAACAAAATTGATTTGTTTATTTGCATTTTTCATACGTTTTCGGAGTTCTAGAAATCTTTGAAACAAGAAGTAATTAAAAACTCATATTTCATTATATTGTTATTCAATGCACACCATTTTAAAGCTTGGAGTGTCTACTTTTAGAATATATATATATATATTTTTTTAATAAAGTTGCCCCATTTTCCAGAAATCGGGAAAATTGATCACACCGGGGAAAACCAGACTTTTTTTTAAATACTTCTTGTTCCCCGCTGTTCATTTTTTAAACATTAATACCCAGACCGAAGTGAAGCTGATATTCTCACCTTTCCATTTCTATCAATTGATCCCCATATGTGAGCGTGGTTCTTAACTGTTTTTTAGAATTATCTCCCCCATTTTTACGCTCTCCGCCTGAGATCCATGATATTCCATCATAACCTAACCACGTATACGCACGCGCCATGCGCTCACCGTAATCGTCTGCTTTTGTTGCTATACAATCTCTGTTGTTTTTGGAGTTGTTATTGTCGGTTGTTACATATTTCTTTCGTACATTTAAAAAAAATTCACAATTCTGGGTTCGAGTAGTACAATAATGAACAATGATTACTTTTCTTTTCTATATTCAACACAAATGAGTTAAAGTGGAATATATATCGAAGATTTGGGGTTGAGGTAAGTCTTTTGTTGCTATATCTATCATAATTATTTCTACTAATGTTATTCTTTTTTTTAGGTTAAAACAAACATAAAATAGAAAGCCCTTTAGATACAGAGCTTTTAGCGGCACTTCTAGAAGATTTGCTTTACAAAGTGAGTAAATTACCAGAAAAATTAATGAAATTAAGTGTAAAAGGGATCCGGCCCCCTCGGAACTCTTGAAGATGATTTTTTGTCAGTGCAAGACAGGCTGCGAGAGCAAGAGCAAGACGATGAAGACTATGATTCTGATGACATTGAATGGTTTAACGTATAATAAATTATAAGCATTGCTATGTATTTCGTATGTTCAACATGTTTTTCATAATAACAGAAATTTTATAGAAACTTTCTTATTTTTCTGAAACCCTGGAGCTATATTGTTCCAAAAGAAGTTGGCAAAAATTTTGCAGAAGAAAATATAAAGGGTCTTCTCGGGTCAATATTCATCACACTCTAAAACTAGTAACCCACTATTAGGCAAAGCGCCGGGATTGGAGACTGCCACATGAAAAAAAAATTTTTTGCACTCTTCTATTAAATTTTGCAACGCAAATTACACAGAACATTCAGCAATATAGATGTGATACCCCAAGCGCTACTTTACAGAAAAAATCCCGTAGAATCCGCCAATAATTGTCGAAAGATATAGGCCCCATAATTTAGTGAGCAGAGGTATGCCGCTGGCGCCATCTAAAATTGGTCTCCAAAGTCCAAAACATGAAAATCCATGTATTCCCAACTCCCTCGAGCGGAAATTCAGTGATAAACTAACATTTCTATTCAGTGCAAAAATTCGGTCTTTTTCGAAGGCCGTTTTTGCAAAAAATATTCGTCTTGCGAAAAAAATGGTAGGGACCATTTTTGTAGATAATGATACGATCTTTATCCAAACAAAAATTGTCTAATTTGTATATTTTGGCAGATATTAGCGGGAAACCATTTTTTCGGACTTAAGGAGCCATTTTGAGCCCTTTCCGACCAAGCAGTGTTGGTAAAAGTTTTCGCCCTAAAAGCAACCGTCAAGACCTAAGAATTGAGCCACAAAGGAAATCTGGACCGACTTAATGACAGCTTTGCATATTTTCAGGTCTTCAGTTACTGAACTATATTAGCATTAATGCAATTTGTGTAGATGCGATATCCAAATTTAAATTCCAACGGGATTCTTTTATTTTCAGCGGCTCAGCTGAATTTATTTCAAACTGGTTGACCGATCAAGTGGAAAGCGTTCGAAATTCGACCAAAGTCCCAATGACGTTGATGTTTAATTCCGGTTGGTTCAATTCTACTGAAAATAGTGCTGAAGGTTTTACAAAATTTCTCGATAATCTATTAGAAAAGAAAGATGTGTTCTTGGTCAGCCAAAAACAGGTAATTAGATAGTAATAGGTAATTAGATAGTAATAAATAATTATCTATACTGGCGCGTCATCGAAGACACGTTTAATTTCTAAAATAACAGGGGGACATTAGAGAATTTAAAGTTCAAAAACACTGAATTTAGTAGAAATACATTATGCTGAATTATCGCTGAACATATATAAAAAAAAGTCCGAGGAATTAAGAAGTCTATTAAAAACCCTAAAATAAGAAGTATTTTGGTTTATAAATGGCATATAAGTGGATGAAAAAAACCAAAAAACGAAAAAACAGCTTCTTAATAATTACTTATGCCATAACTTCATTAATTTAAATAGTATGTGTGGTACCAATGCCTGTCATCGATGACGTGCATTAGATTTTATATTTAATCCAGTATGGTCAAATGTGAGTTGAGGGTCACAATAATATTTTATAACTATGTTTTTTAGGTAGTGGAATGGATTAAAGAACCTGTAAAATTGGCCGAATTCCAAACTGATTCCCAAAATGACGAGATTTACGGTTGCGATAAAACCAAATGTCTCGTGAAAAAAGGCGCCGAGGATCGTAATTTCAATATTTGTACAGCCTGTCCTAAAAATTATCCGTGGTTGGACAATCCTGACGGTAACTAAGAAGAAATCAAATTTAAAATAAAACATGACAAGCTAAATAAAACCGTTTAAATAATTTAATCGTTGTTTTTTTATTTTTGCGATTGCCTGAATAATAATAGAACGGTAAGTTTTGTTAACAAATAATTGGTTGAAGGCTCAGATAAACAAATAAAATAAAAATAATAAACAGGAGCCGTTTAACATAAGCTTTGTTTGAAGCATGAAGGTAAAATAGGGAAGGAGATGCAATCACGTGTTCAAAACTATCACCACGTCGGCCATATTGATACTAGACTTCCTTCACCTGTGATAGTTTCTATTTTTTTAATTGTTTAATCTAATTATAATTAATTATAAACGTTTATATAAACTATTTGTCTAAAAAACATTAAAAGAACAATAATGTCGTGTGCCAATCGCAATTGTACAAGTAACAATGGTGTGGATAACAAGAAAATTTCAAAAATAATATTTCTTAGGTAAGTATAAACACAGTGCAGAGTCGTATTAAAATAAAACGTTGATATAGTTTTCAAAATAATTAAATTTAATGGTTTCTTATCAATTACAGTAATAAGTGAATATTATAAACAACATTCTTAATTAGCATACAACATTTATATATCAACATAATAAACACAATTTGATTCATTTAATGCAGATTTCCACAGGATCCAGAAAAATGTAAGAAATGGGTATATTTTGTAAGCAGAAGTTTTTGGGTATCTACGACTTATATATACTGTATTCTGTTCCAAGCACTTTCTTTAACAACACTTTGTTTTAAGTTCTAAATGTTATGTTCGTCTAAAAAAAGATGCTTTTCCCACTATTTATATAACACAAGTTAAAAATGTAATCATGTACCTATTTTACTTATTGTGTATTTATTTACAACTTTAAGAGTAAACATTATTATTCTTATTTTTGTAATAATCTACTAAAAAAATCTTTTGATGAAAGGGTTAATTATAAAAATTACAACTTGAAAAGTTAAAAATACATACGTCACAAAAGGATATTTAAAATCAATTACCTACATGGCTGTAGATAAGGAAAAAGTTGCTTCTATCAAAGTGTGACCACAACCAACTGATAAACATCAAATAATAAGTTTTCTTGGGCTATGTACGTAATATCAAAGATTTATTAGGAAGTTTGCAGATATTGCTAAGCCATTAACACGACTCACAGAAGAAGCGAGGGAATTCTGCTTCCCAAACTGCCTTTGAAACATTAAAGAAGCATTTAATAATAGTGCCAAAACTAGGCTACTCACTACCAAAGGGAGAATTTATTCTGAATACTGATACCAGTAATGTGGGAATTGGAGTAGTGCTTTTACAAATTCAAGGAGGAAAAGAAAGAGTACTGGGTTATTTTAGTAAAGTGCTCGCGAAACCTGGGCGAAATTACTTCGTCACAAGAAGAGAACTCCTAGCAGTTGTGAAATGCGTGAAACACTCTATCAATACCCATATGGAAGGAAATTCTTAATCCGTACCGATCATGGGGTTGATGCAGTTCAAAAACCCGGAGGTTTAAATCGCCAAATGGATTGAACGACTTCAAGAGTACGACTTTAAGATCGAACATAGAGCTGGAATAAGATACAGAAATGCCGATTCTCTTTCTAGAAGACCGTACCCAACAGAGTGCTCTCACTGGAACAGAGCAGAATCCAAAGAGACTGGACTACTAAGAACAACTATAGTCAACGACAAGTGGGCTCCTGTCAAACTAAGGGAAGGACAAGAGAACGATCCCGTTTTAAACAAGATGCGACTATGAAAAGAAGAAAATTGTAGACTTACCTGGCAAAAACTATCAATTTTCTCTCCAGTGTGACGCACCGCTTCGAGAAGCTTTCGGATAGATCCCTTTGTGGCGTATGAGCAAAAAATACCTACCCAAGAAGCGAAACTAAATAAGTTTTCGTATGTACCAAAGCTTTGAAACTTAATACACTGAGAAACGTATGAAAATTAATCAATTTTTGTCGTTTGGTTCATAAGAATTAAACACAATCTCAAGTAACAATGACATACAAAAATCTTGTAAAATAAATTATTTTAATAACGAAATAAGTACTGTAAGTACATCTATGACAGTCACTTCACAATAGTGTAAGCAAAAGACCTGGTCAATCTGCAAATAGGGAATTTTGAGAACAATTGAAGACACAAGTGGATGAAGGTGTCATGTCACATTTTTTGAAAATTGATTTTTATGGCCTATTACATTTAGAATATATTATATTTTTGTTTGTGATAGTTCTAATTTCAAATCGGATAAGAAGGTATCATGAGCCATATATCGTAATGCCATTGTAAAACTTTAAACTTGTTTCTCTCGAAATAATCTTCTTATGACAGAACATCTTTATCCACTCGTGTCTTCAATTATGCAACAGTGGTACAAGGACCATTCACTGTCTATCAATCCCAAGAAGACAGAAATAGTTCTTTTCACAAGGAACAGGAAGAAAATGGAATTAAAACCTCTAGAGCTGCTAAACAAAACAACAAAACTTTGTGAAGTACCTAGGTAGCACCTTTGACAAAAAGTTAACATGAAACTCACACTTAGAAAACAGAGTTGAAAGAGCATACATTGCTAATGAACAATACCTTCGTCTGGGAGTTCTCCTCCAGAGTCGTCAGTTGACTTACAGCCATCATAAGACCTATGCTAACATACGGTGCAATTGTCTGTGTACCTAAAATTCAAAAATTGACAGCTATTCGCAAACTAGAACAAATTCAAATACCAGCTCGTCTCAACATAACAGGGAGCCATGAAAACCACGCCAACTAGATCCACGGAAGTCGTTCTTAGCCTCATTCCCTTTGATATTTACATCAAGGAGGTTGTTCTAATGACATTGACACGCCTCTGCATGGTTGGAATAGAACCTAATGTACGATCTGGTAAGGCGAGACGTGGTTTTTGGCAAAAGTCGCTCAATACGCTACCACTGCTTCAAGCGAACATGAACTTCATCTCACCGAGATATATCTTCCAGAAACCATATGAAGTTATAAAAAAACAAATAGAAGAGCCGGAAGTGGCAGGTACGATTCATATCTACAGCGACAGTTCTAAAACAAAACAAGACTCAAGATGTGGAATATACAGCAATTCCTTGAACCTAAACATAAAATGGTCTGTGAGCAATGTAGTTCAAACTGAATACTTTTTGGACTTGGCCCTTCTATTGGACTGACAACATAGGTAGTGACAGACCTAATTAAAGAACATTCTTTTGTGAAATTCAAAGAAAGATGGGATGAAATCAAAAACTGTACAGTTGCCAGCTTTTAAGTTATCCTGACAACAATACTGCAAACCAATACTTGACTATGACTAGAGAGAATCTGCGCCTGATCACAGGTATTCTGACTGGTCATTGCCAAGTACGGAAGCATCTTCATTTAATGAGGCTGTCAGAATCGGCACCCCGCTGGGGGTGCGAAAAAGAAGATGAGACCATTGAGTTGCCCTCCTCAATTAAAAGGCCGTATCTACAAAAAAATCAAAAAACGAGATTTTACATATATGGATTCCTATGATATATTCTATAATCTTACAATCTGAAAATGCGGCATCTGAACAATTAACTAGTAAAAATACATAAAACCCTTTGCCGTATCTGCAAAATAATGCCAATTTCTTAATTGACAGCCAGTGTTTAATGAAAACGCCGTTAGTGCTTTTTTGAAAAATAAGATGAGGTAACACAATTTTTTTTAGTATTAGATATTTTGAGTTTTATTCTAATTACTATAGCACTTTTTTTAATTAAATGAAAGAGAAAAAATTAGGAATCCAAGCAATAAACTTTAAACTCCATTTTCTCAAATTTATGTTGTTTGTAGATACGGCATATCCTCTACAATTGCCTGATGTTCTGTTATTAAAATATTTGTTTTCGGCGACTATTGGCTAACACCGACCGATATAAAACAAGCACCTCTTGGCGACGTTGTTACCTACATTGCATCTGTAGATTGGCTCACGTGCTAGAAGGTGCCTATCATCTTGAGAGGATACACAATGGGCCTAGTGAAGCCTAAATTCCGTGCGGTAGCCCACCCTCTACACGTTACATATCCAGAAGTACTGTAGGTAGCTGTAAATGCATTTCGATTGCATCCTGATAGCAGTGACTTGGTTCCTCGGAGTGAGTTTGTCATATATTATAATTATTGTTTATTTACTGTTTTAATTCGAATGATTTAAAAAAAACAGTTTAAATAAAAGACTAAGAAATTAAACGATGGTTTTTGATATCACAATTTATTTTAACTAAACTTTAACAACAATGATACAACTAATACAATAACTCCAACTGATAACATTAACGTTTAACGTCTATATATAGCTTGCCTCGACCTTCTAGCCCCTTCTCAAACAATCTAGACTTTTCTTTGACAAGAAATGACATTTCGAGACTTTTCGGGAATATTCTATCTTCTTCACTTACTCGTACCTTTACTTATGACGACCGCAGCACGCTACACGGTGCTGCGTAACAATTCTTAGGTGTAAATTATCATTATAGGTAATACTGATTTAGAAATTTTAAAAATAAAATTACAGTCGGATGCAAGAACGTTCATTAAAATTTACGAACAACGCAATGTATTTTTTTTTTCATGTAACAAAAATCTTAAATCTAATTTCTAATTACTACTAGTTAAACACAACTACTATACTGAAATTTTCCCAAAACGCTAATAATAATATACCAAACGTTGCTCTACATAAATTAACAGCTATATTTGACGTTAAACCACCTCTAAAATACTGAGAAAACTTGGCAGTTCTTTGTCCACGAATCAATCATCCATTTAGTTTCGCTTCTTGCGTAGGTATTCTTTGGAATGAGTCAAAAGAGTTAGTTTTGATCGTTCTAAAAAGCCAAGAGTATTCTGGTACAGAGCTGGCTTTACCTAAATAGCGCGAGTTTGTTGACAGACAAGAAGATTCAAATGAAGTGTTGGAGAGTAAAGACAAATTGTAATAAATAAATTAGAATTATGAGTTATAATAGTGCCTAAATATTACATAAATTAATTGATACGTTATAAATAAATTGTAAATAAAGTTTTTTCAATAAATAAACTATAAATAAATTAAACAAACGTTGCACTAATATATTAATATTCTACAATATATTTGTATCGCTTAGGTTTTTTATTTACTTTACTTTGAAACTACGTGGAACTTCTCCAAATGTATGTTTTAAGGCAAACAAATCATTTAATAGTAATTTTTAGACATATAACTAATAAAATTCGTTAAAAACATACTAAAAAGTCCAAAAACTTTAAAAATATGCCCTGGGAATATAAAATCACACAAAATGTACAAACAAAACTGATTGTTGACAGTTCTGACTAAATTTTGGTAAATCACATCAAGTACCGAGGAGAAAAAGAAAGTAAAAGAAAAAAGAATAGATACTGGCTTAAAACAAATTCAGATCCTTACTAATCTGTGTTTAATTTATTTATCTGACGTTGAAGGAGAACTCAAAAATACAATTCCGAGTTTGACAATTTCGACGCAATCTATTTCTTTCTATCCTCTTTCTTGCAAGTTTTACAAAGCAATAACCAATGTACTGAAATCTTATCTCAACACTAGAAATATTATCTTGAGTTAATAAATACAAGAATAGCAAAGTGGTTTGATAGAAAGTAATTACTAAATTGCTAGATAATCACTGTAGTTACAGAATTGAGCTGATCATACAAACTATAAACATTTTTCAATATTTATATTGTGCAACAAGTATACGTTTCATATTTATTAAAACTTGGAATTAGTTTGTCATACTCATATTATAGACCTATTGTAATGCTAATAAATTTTTACATTGATAAGATACTGAATTAAGAATGATCAGACACTTGAATTTTATCTCTAGTATAAAAACAAAATCGCAATAAATATTTTGTTCTAATTATTTTGAAATGAAACTGATCGCATTTGCTTTCGTCGCCATTTTGGCGTTAGTACAGGGCGATTCTGCCAAACAATGTGACCTAGATGCATGCAAAATAGATTCAAATTGCAGATGTTCCAATAGTCCATCTCCTTTAGATGGGAGTCTAGGCGATTGGCCACAAGTAAGTTTAATTTGTTGATAACTAATTCCCAGATAACAATTATGCATTCTTAGCATATTCTCAGTATATGCTTTTTAGGAATGTGCATATGCTGAGAATATACTTTATTTGCATTTGGAACATTCTCAGAATATACCAAGAATATGCTACGTGACGTTGTTTATACGTGCTATGCAGATGCTGAGAATGTACTGAAGTATGTGTACAGTATGCAATAGGTATCTACTTTAATTTGATAGTACTTTCTAAGTATATGCTTAGTATTTAAATATAGCATATGCTAGGCATATACTGGACACCCTAATACAAAATGTTTCATTAATATTGAACAATAAAGAATAAGTGTATATAATGAAATCTTTATTTCAAAAAATTCATACTTATTCTTATTTTTAATACAAATTCTTTCTTTGGCCTTAACCAACCAATATTTCATTGTATCAATTGCTTAAGTTTCATTTGCTTGATTCCATTGGATCTTCATTCAATATAAAAAATAAAAAAAAAATCAACAAACTTGGTACATATACAAATTAACTGTACATAGCTAAAGGAATATTTTAAATATTTTTGTCGAACGTGAAACATTAAAAAATTATACATGGCATTTCACTAACAAAAACAAGAGTTACATAAATGATTATTATGTTTAGTGAAAGTTTAAATATATTTTTGTTAATTACTTACCACCATTTTGTAGTTTTCCTCCTCCTTTAGCTAATTTTCTAGTTCTTCCAGGTCAATTTGTGGCCTTACAGGATTTTTTTCATAAAAGTGTGTATGTAATTCTGATAACACTAAATTTTAGTTTCAATTAGTATTGACCATATTAATAAATTCAAACTGGCAATTAATATATGGGATATCCTGTGTTCTAACATCACTTATAGGTCCTAAAGACTACAAATATTGTAAAATTTGTTTATTTTTATATTGAACACACGATGCAATTAATTTTTACTAATTTACTTACTGAAACGAATTTGTAGGAATTGTAGGTTATGTTATTCTTCTTCTTCTTCTTCTTCTTCTTATCTTTTATTAAGGTTGTTTTTGGCCTAAACATTAGTGCGTTTGCTAACGAATTAATAGATAGGCATCTGGGAAAAATTTATATATTCATATAGATGTGTATATAAACGTTTTTAAATGTATTTGGTGTTAATTTTTACCTGCAAGCATTTAGAACATTCTCAGAATATGAGGTACATGCTGGGTATATGACTTTTAGTATCTTCTTAGAATGTCCTGTTATAGCACGTGCTCAGTATATACTTTTTGGAATATACTTTTAAGGCACGTACTCAGCATATACTTTCTAGAATATACTTTCAAAGTATATACTAGGTATGTTCTAAGAACATTCTAAAAAGGACATACTAAAATGGACATACTAAAAGAACATAAACAGAACGTTCTTAGTATATTCATAGAACATTGATGTTATGTGGGTTTAAGAATTATTTTTGTGCAGATTCCTATAAATTTAGATAAAAAAAAACCTTTCTTTATTTACAGTTGGTCAGTTTAACCTTCGATGACGCTATCACTGAAAAAGTTTACAACGACTACTTGGATCCTTTGTTATTCTCAAGGACAAATCCAGATAATAATCCTATCGGAGTGACTTTCTTTGTACCACATGAATATACTAACTACCAAAGAGTAAATGATTTGTACAATATTGGTTTCGAAATTGGTGTACATTCCATTACGTAAGTATCCAATATTATAGAATCGTAGAACCTAATTGGTCGCAGAAAACGATTGATGTTAAATTGGATAAATTATTTCCAGGAATAATGTAAGCTTGCGTGGTATTCGGTAAAATGTCACACCATTTTACACCATAATTTGCAAAAAATATTAATCCAACTTGACATTTTAAATTAATTTCACTGCTTGTCAAGTTGACCAGTGTATTGTTGTTTTTGACATGTGTTTAACCGGTTCTGTCACAAAGCTTGTAGCGCATTCGACTGGTCTCACTAGTGCGCATTTAGTTCGACATTTTTAAGTACCTTATATTAACGCTTTTTTTTTAATTCCGCAAAATAGAAAAAAAAATAATCTACGTTTATTACAAAAAGATTTATTTTTAGTTAATAAAGAATGACGACACTATTATTAAATTAAGCTAATAAGAACAATTATACATATATGAAGATAAATTTACTACTGACCCTTAAATAATACTAATTTGGTAAAAAAATTGTGTTATCGTTGTTGGTGATAGTATGTTTAATATTATATTATGGGAAATGGAAAATACGATTTTCCTTTAAACGAACATCTATAAGAAATCGTACAGGCCTTCTTAGATTTAAAAGCTACTATCATCCGATAATTTAAAAGTGTATCTTTACTGTGGCATTTTTATTTTATGTAAAACACATACTTTGATTTTCTTTTACTATACGGAGAATGGTCGCACTGCGCATCTTTCTGAGTGCCTTTTAAAAGGAGATAGAAAACTCCGCCATTTTGAACCCTTATTACGTGTTGCCTACATCTTGGCGCAATATTTTTAATAGGTGCGTTTTAATAATCCGCTTCTGCTTCGGAATTGTCAGTTTTCTTGTTTTAATCTGACAGGTAAAAACGACTAAACCGACAATTCCGGAAGCAGAACCGGATGATTAAAACGCACCTGATATTTTGCTTGCTGCTGTCAGTGTCAGTGAATATTATTTTTGAAGTCACAGTTTACTGCTAAAGAATCAGTTAGCTCACTCGGACCAGTTGAAAGTTCCAAAATAACATCCACTCCAGGGATACAAATTCAGGATACGCAGAAGACTGCTGTTTTATTATTGGCGGTTGTCATATATTGTATTATCCGAGTTACACAGTGTATAAACTGAAACATTGAGATCAAAAGTGCCGACGCAGAGTGAGCGATCTGATTCTTTAGCTGTAAACTGTGTCACAGGGTTCAAAATGGCCGCGCCCTATGTTGGGCGTGTCGGACCTCTCTCTTGCCTTGTATAGTTATCAAAGTATGTGATGTAAAAGCAATACATAATTTTTTGATCTGGCAGTTTCTAGAACCAAAATGTTAAAGACAAAACTATTGAATTATCTACGAACCATGCACATCACTTAATAATTATGAATCAGTTACCATAGCACTCATTAAATCATAATAATATAATGATCAGTTGTGCAGCTATCACGCTGTGATAGTAAAAAATGCTAAATTATGTTATGGAAAAAATCACGCATGTCGGTTAATAAAATTTTTCTTTATTGTTAAATGTTTTGCTTTTATTCAGAGGCTTGTAGTCATGGGCGAACTTATGTCATCAGATCTGGGGGGGCTAAAGCCCTAACCCTAGTCATATAAAATATAATAGTTCTAGAGGTATACTGAAGTTAAGTAAAAAAATTCTGGCGAATCTATGAAAATGAATAAAATATCATATATAAGTGAAAAAACTGAATAATTTTCATCACAATAATTTTAATCGCAAAAATTTCCCTAATTTTCGCAACAAGAGTAGATATGGACAATCCACTCGAGTTGTGCAGTATATTTTTTCTACGAACTACTAACGAAAATCTACAAATTTAAAAAATGATTTTAGGATTAGACAAAATAAGCCATTTTAAAATAATTTATAAATTTTATTAATTTATAAAATAAAAAACATAAAATGCTTTGTCCTCAGCTCCACCGCCACTTTTAGGTTTTTAATTTTAATACTCGTAAATAAATTAGTTTCATACAATTTGATTAAAATTTACTTTTTTAAATGTGGCCCAAATAAAATTTAAATGTTATTTTTTATCGATTCTAAACAAAAATAACTAATTTTAACGTATATGTAATATAATGACTAAAAAATATACTGACAGTTTGTCAGAATTTAAAATTTTAAAAATAATAGTAGTTGGATGTCCAAAATATGAACTGGGATTTGTGGATTTCATTATTTTGCAGTTTTCTCGCTATGTTATGTTATGTTGGGAATGGGGTGTTAATACACTGCGACCTAAAATATCTATTGTGCCCCCTTGTGTCGCTAATGCAGCAAGGAAATGTCTCAATGCCTATAACGACTCTTTCCAATTATATCTTCTCAAGGAAGTGTCGGATTTGGAGTGGCTTCAAGTTTCTATTTGATATGCTCCTAGGTATAGTGCCCTTGGATTCTGGAGTGCTACACATTCAGTTAGAATGTAAATGAAGGTTTCGACCTTCTCCTCACAGAATCTTCACCCACTATTTTCTACTACTCTCAGTTTACTAAGGTGTCCTTTTAGTTGGCAATGCCCAGTAAGGATCCCTGTTACAAGTGCAGTACTAGAAAAATGTATATTATGATAACAGCTTAAAATACAATCTGGCTAATGTGGAATACCCCGAAAGCCTTGCCAGACTTGTCTAATGATCGTCAGGCGTGCTAAAATCTGCGCGTTCGATTACTATTCCTCTCCTCGTTTAACTACCTGGCTTGTCAGGTCCGACCGAAATACGGTTTTATAACCGAAACCGAAACCCAATTTCGGCTCCTTTCTTAGTCGAAACCGAAACAGAAATAAGAACTTTCTTTTAAGGTAATCTCTTATTGAAATTTGCAATATCTTTGTTTAAGACTAATTAACTCGTATTATAAATTTTAGCTACATTTACTTATTACCTATTTATTTATGTGATCAAAAGAAGCCATTAATAAATTTATTGACATTGTTTTTTTATTACTTTTGAAATTAAAAAAAAAAAAAAAAAAAAAATAAGTGAATTACAAAGTAGCAATCATTTCTGTCATCATTGTAACAAAAAATAGTATTATGAAGGGAATTATATATAATGTAATTTTTATTTAAAAAAAAACAAATTCAGATAATTAAATATGTTTGTTACTTATAATTAAATTAATATTCATAAGTAAACAGTCTAACGTTGTAGGCTAGAAATAATATTTTTTCAACGTTTCACCTAAAAAAATGCTCCTTTGATACGAATAAATTAGGCCAGGAGCACTGAAGACTGTTCACTTGAAACAAAGCAGAGAAGTACGTGCACTGTGTAGGAATGGCACCCGGCACAGTCACCATTATGCCGGACACAACCAAGTGTGATACGTAAACTTTCGAAAGTAGTTTCGTAGTTGGCTGCAGTTTCGGCCAGTTTTCCGCCGAAACCGAAACTGTAGTCGAAACTCTTATTTTAAGCCGAACTTGGCCAAAACCGTAACCGAACCTTCGGCCTTACACTACTTGTGAGTCTGGCAGGCCTTCGTGATTTTAATTGTCAGCCAGACCTATATTTTCACTTAGAATACCACTAGTGCCTAAATTATTTCAGAAATTTTTTTCGAACTTACGAATATTTTGAAATTTATCCTGAGTCGAAGACGATTGATATTTTTCTTAAAATATGCGTGAGTGAGCAAAAATTTACTGATAATAATTTAGGCACCAGTGCTAGGTATTGGGTAAGAAAATTTTACACCAAAATATCCAAATTTCAAAACTTGACAGACATACATTAAAACGACTAAAATCAAATTTTCAAAGCTGGCCATAGAACAATATATAAAACATATGCATAAAAGAGCTTCTCAACTGTCAAAAAAATTTTCAGTATAATTTCGTTCAGGGTACCCACCAGAAGAAAAATTTCCGGAAATTTTTCATGGAAGCGTTTGAAAATAACGGTATTTGATCTGCTATAAAATAGAGCTGTAAAATTATAATATAATCTATTACATGACAAGTTTTCAAACCCGGGAAAATAGAAGCAAAAATATTATATTTTTTCGATTTTGAAGATATTACCAGACTCATTTGCCAATTTCGTAAATCAGCCAGACTTATTATTATTAACAGTTCATGATTGTATCAATTTATATGCTAAATTTTCTGCCACACTCACTTTCCACTATCTGAGATATTCCAAACTGCTATTTTTATAAGCTTTATGTTCTAGTTTAGTAAATGTAAAATATTTATGACTGGGAAAATAAGTGTCAGACTCAAAATGTTTGTTTTTTGTCACTAAGAGAACAGTTTATTTTCATATAAATTTTTCTTTATTAATTTCTGTTCTGAAATCTGAAATGTGTGGATAGATGTGCGATAAATGTTCGAATTATTTTTGGGGGGCTAATTTGGCCCCCCCTAACTTCGCCCATGCTTGTAGTTATCACGACAACACTCGTATAACTGACTGAAGGTAAAAAAAAGTCCTTCCAGATAAATATTACGGTCTTCTTGACCATGAGAATATAATACCCGATTTAAATGATAAGGAGTATTAAAATAAAAAAGCAGTGGCGTGCTGTGAAATTTTTGGAAGGGGAAGCGATTGTATAAAAATACAGCACGCCAGTAAGTAGAGCGCCGCAGACGAAAATTTTTCGCGGCGCATTCACCATTTTGTCAAAATTTTGCTTTTGTTTCTTCAGTACTAAAGATATTCGAGATTGAGATTTTTGAAGCGTTACTATTACTTTATTACCTAGTTTAGTACTAGCAGCTATAAAAAAACTTACAATTGAAAAGCTTCCTTGGTTTATTTAAACGTAAAAAAAACATTTAACCCTACGTTAGGCGCGCCCTCATTTGTGACGTTGGGCTTTTTTGAAAGCGTTTTCTTTATAGAGTATACTTAGTATGATACAATTAATCATAAAAATATAAATTCAATATTTTCCTGTTTAAATAAATTGTGAGTGGTGCATAAAATACTAATTATAAATTTATCTTG